CTGCTCCAGTGACAGAAAGCAGGGAAAGAAAAGAAAATGAGAACTCAGGGGATAGTGAAGACTGCATGAAGGCAGGGAGAAGCACAATCTAGTGGGGCAGGGAGGGCAGGTCGAAATTCAAAGCTAGGGGCAGCTAGGTGGAGCAGTGTATAGAGTACCGGTCCTAGAGGAGAACCTGAGTTCAAATCCAGCCTCAGACACATGACACTTACTAGCTGTGTGACCCTGGGCAAGTCACTTAACCCCGATTGCCTCACTCAAAAGGAAAAAAAAAAAAGAAAAAAAAAGAAATTCAAAGCTAACTGGAAACAGACACTTGCAGAGGCTGGTGAGTCCAGTGGAATCAATTCCATATCACTTTTCACTTCCCATTTCTCCTCTGGTTGGTGAGAGGTAATGTAAGGGAAAAGAGGTTCTTTCCCCACCTCTATTTCCCTCCCCCCATCACAGCCTGCAAGTAAGTGTAAGTCTGCTTTATATGTTTATTTGAGCTTTTGTACTATTTGAAATTTCTATTAAAATGTGTGGCCATTTACAATGATTTGTGTCCAAATTAGTAAGTGCACAGTTTAGGAATGAGAGAGAGGGAAGGCTAGTGAAATTTGAAGGATATTCCTCAATTCAGGTTGAGATGGGATGAGTTGATTAGACAGAGAATCTTTGAGATAATAAGGCAACTAGTTGGTGTGGTAGAGTGCCAACCCTAGAGTCAGAGATACATCTTCCTGAGTTCAAATCTGGACTCAGACACTTACTGGCAGTGTGGCCACAGGCAAATCATTTAAACCTGTTTGCCTGTTTCTTCATCTGTAAAATGACTTGGAGTAGGAAATAGCAAACCACTCCAATATCTTAGCCAAGGAAATCCCAAAAGGGGTCACAAAGAGTTAGATATGACTGAAATGACTAAAAATCAACATCTGAGATGGTAGTCTCTGAGATATCCATACCCACTAGTCTGTTTATGAACTTGGGGAAAGACTTCATACAGAAATGAACCAGCAGCAGTGACAGGTATGTTTGTTCAGTTAGTCACCCTGCACATAGCACCCAACTAGTACCCTTAATCTGGTTACAATAGTTAACATATCATATAACAGGACACATTTATTTACTACATCTTAGTAGGGAATCATTATATAATATAAGGTTGGGGTGAGGCAAGCACATTTGACTTTTTGTACCTAAAATAGTATTAAATAGCATGAACCTGTCCACCTTTAATTTGAATTGAACCAAAGTAGCTCTACGTCTCATAATAATAATTACTAGATGCCAAGATTCTGGGTCTATAGCTCTTTTATGATGAGAAACTCTTTTTTCCCCCCTCTCAAGCCTTAGTATTGATTATCATATGAAAAGAAAGGTCTACTGTTGGAGGATTTTATGAAAGGAAGCTGTGGGGAAACAGAAAACCTCTCTTAATACCTTACATTGTTTCACATTTGTCATGATCCCATCATTTCTGAAATGACCACATTGCCAAAGAAAAGTAGGGTGGAGGTGGGTTGTGGCTTGAGTTAAAGCATACATGACACTGGGGTCCACACTGGGTCTTCTTGGTCAGGTATGAAAAACAATTTGTAGTAATGGGGCTATGATGGGGAAATAGATTCTATCAGGCAAGTTTTGAAGTGTTTGTAAATAAATATCTCCTTTCCATATCTAACATTCACAATGCTAATTCATTATATGTGTATTGATTTTTAATGATCCTTTGTCTTCATATCACATTTGTTTCTGAATATATTCTTTCACCTTCCTTAAACAAGTCATTCAGTGTAACAAAGAAAAGTAATAAAACAGACAAAAAACAACAGCAACAACAACAACAAAAACATAAATGCAGTTCATCTAAACTAAACAATATATTGACCTTGTATGACAGCAGATGCAATATTCCACAGGTATAGTACCCCACCTAAAATTGAAAGACTTTTTCATGAGCAAATAACAATCCAACAAGATAAGAAAGGAAATCATTGATGGGGTGGGGAAGTGGAGAGGAAATCTGTACATTAAATGTCTCTGATGAATTATAGAGAGAATTAAGAGTTTCATTTTAAAGCTATATGACAACAGTAATTAATTTTTAAGTAATAACTCTTAGCTATTATTACCTACCTAGAATGACTTGCCAGGATGGTCATGACTGAATTAAAATTATGGATGGATACTTGCAAAAAAAGGAAGTCATAAGCAGGCTATTGTTTTTATTTAATGGAATTAAAGAGAAAAAAATCTTTTAACAAAACTACCTGGTATTAGAAGCAGCATTCATGAATTGTATTTCTAGTATTGCATACATTGATGTAGTGTTCAAATATGGAAACACTAAGCCATTCAGAAGACATTTTGATAATGAGAAAAATATTTATGCACTCAGCAAACTGTCAGTGAAGGTAGTTTGAATTGGATAGGCTATTCAATTGGGATAGTTTCAAGACTGCAAATAATTTTCGCCATGAAATGATTTTTATAATGAATACAGGAAACTTAGATTGATATGCACAAGATCCATTATTTGGGGAAAGAGTAGAACAAATTGTTGTTTCTGTTATCCACGTGTGGCAACAGATTTCCTGAAAGACAATTCTGATGCTTTCTTTACTCAGGCAGTGCTTACTTTAACAAAGAGACCAATGCCATGGTCTGTAGATGGTGTTCGTAATCTTGTCAAATGGCTCTATATCTTACCTTTCCCTTGTCTATTTCCTAGTCCCATAGTGTGCTTTTTAGGTCACCTCAGTGTCTCCATCACACTTACTAATTGTGTCTGTTTTTGTAATGACTCCCTGTTGTCTTATGAAATACTTTGACAAGTTTAAGGTAAGAAAAGGATTTGTTGCAGCTGTTTTAGGAACATGTAAAAGTTAGAGTGACCATTTAAAGAGTGAACAGTGACATAAAACAAATCTGCCACTCACATCCCAAACTTTATAAATTGAAACAGCAGGGCAAATTGTCACACTTAGCAAATCAGCAACATAGCATCCATCAAAAACAATAAAGCAGACTCAATTTCTACCTGCCCTTGCATGGTATTTAGGATTTAGATCATAAAATCACAAACCACAGGAGAAGCTACCACAGAAACTAAACAGATTCTAGGTCACATGGTCTGAACCAATCACTCCCTAGTTGCAAAGGTTGACAGATGGCGGCTTCAGATAGCACTTAATCTTTAAGTATCATCCTGATTTCCCATGTTTTAAATCAGAGGTGTCAAACACATGGCCCACAACACTCCTGAGTGTGGCCCATGCTAGATTAAAATGTAATCAGGAAATATTTAACAAACAATATAAATAAATAAAAATACAATAAAACATAGATAGCATTACATTTTAAAACTAAGACAATATTTGGCCCACAGGATCCTTATGTATAGATTAGGGATCCCATTTCTATTTGAGTTTGATACCACTGATCTAAACTGATTAGTACACAGAATTAACCACATAGTATAATATCTGTTTTACTTCCCTTCTTTCACAAATATCTTCTTAAACATTAAATATTGAGTATGGATTAAATATACAAATAGACACATAGGGCATTTTTATTTAGGGTGTCAATGTACAGTGGAAATCCAATAGATGGGAATATGGATTTTTGAGGCATTTTACTCAACAAATCTGATAGCTTCATTGTCAGTACCAGTTAATAACAACAACTCTTAGTTCTGGTTGATTGTTGCTTGAATGTCCAGCAATTTAGCAGCAACAATTCTTTTGGAAAGAGTTTCAAAAGTAGAAATTAGATTGTTTTGTGCCCTTATTTTCCCACCATTAATCCACTCTCTAAGAAAGCAAAACCTTTCTCCATTTGCCAAAGGCTAAAAATCCGAGCCCCCACCCCCACCCCGATGAAAGTACGAAGGGCTAGTATGATTCCAGAGCTTACTGGTCAATAACAAAAACTGACACATATGTAGCACTTTAAGGTTTGCAAAATGCTTTACAAATATTATCTCATTTGATCCTCACAACAGTTCTGGGGGGGGGGTAGTAGCTATTATTATTCCCATTTTACAGTTGAAGAAATTGAAGCAGGCAAAGGTTGTGACTTGTGCAGGTTTATACAGTTAGTATGCATCTGGGAACAAATTTGAACTCAGGTCTTCCTGACTCCAGGTCCAGTGCCCTACCCACTCTACCACCTAGTTTTCTTAAAATAGTTTTAGCCTTATGCCAAATACATGACTGTTTTGAAAATCATGACATATCTTGTCTTCTTAGGAAAATAAAATATTAGAAGGCATAACCATAGTAATTAGCTACAAGTGGCAGAGTAGGAACTGACCTGCTTTGGTAAATAGAGATTTGTCATAGAGAACTCCATTTACCAAGACTAGACCACAGATCCGGTCCAAAAATAAAAACACATGTGAGTATGTGGGTGTATCACTTTAAGGGCATCTAGGTGGCATAGTGAGAGCGCTGGGCCTGAAGTCAGGAAGACCTGAGTTTAAATTCAGCCTCAGACACTTACTAGCTGTTTGACCCTAAGCAAGTTACTTAACCCAGTTTGCCCGAGTTTCCTTATCTGTAAAATGAGCTAGAGAAGAAAATGGTGAGCCACTTCACTATCTTTACCAAGAAAACTCCAAATGGGGTCATAAAGAGTCAGACATGACTGAAAGGACTAAACAACAACAATGCTCTCAATTTAAAATTTACAAAGTACTTTATTTCATTTTAGTCCCACAACAATCTTGTGAGGGAGGTAATAACAGATTATTTCTTTTAAAAATAAGGAAACTGAGTCAGAGAAATTAGGTGACTTTGGTAAGGTCACACAACTATATATTAGAGACATTATTTCCATCCACATCTCCCTGATTCAGTGACTCCACAGTAGAATGGCTGAGAACCATCCCTTTTAATTTTTTCTTACTTATTTGATTTTTTTTCACATTTCCAAATATAATGTGTCCACTTCTGAAAATAGCTTCTTTTAACTGTTTTGCCTCTTCCATTGTCTCTCTATCCATCTAGGTCTGCAGCACCAGGACAAGAGCAAGGAGTCTCCTTGGTTCTGAAACACACAATAGTATCAAGTAAATCTGGATTCAGAACCCCAGGACAACTGGCATGGAGCTGTCGCCAGTGTTTCTTTATTTCTGCATGAGGACAAGATACATATTCATTGAAGGAGAAGATGAAAAATCAGACATTTTGGTTTTGTTTTGGAGCCTTTTCTTGAGAAGGCTTAATGGGACCTAGAACACTGAAAAAAGAAGTCTTTATTTGTTTGTTTGATTCTTCCCTTACCTGAGCCTGTGCAACTCTCCTCCTCTTTGCTCTTTTCAACAGCATGATTTATTTTCCATTTAATTTTGATTTTTTTGTTCCTTTTAAACAAATCACCTTATTTGTCAGGAAAAGGCCAAGCCACAATGGCAATGCTCATCCTTTCAGGAATACAATTTTGTAGCTCTCTGTGCATCTATTTTTGTAGAAATACAGAAAGTGTGGTTTAGCATTGATGGGCTATTTTAGAGGGATGTATTTTTTTTAAAAAAATTGTAAAAATTGTTAAGTTCTGTTTAAAGAACTTGCTCTCAGAGAAGCACTGGCAACAATATATAAAAATGCTTACTTGTAGATATCTGTGATGTGATATGTCTCTGTGTTTTTCAGGTTACCTCAAGTGTTTGATACTTTTCCTTTTAAAGATGGTAGCACATTGCCAAACCAGTCTGGTATTGTTTTCACGTGATAGCGCTTTGAAGGGTTGAAACTTTCAACTCTTGTCCTAGCTTGTACAGCTATTAGGTGCATATGTGGTTTCAAAGGAAAGTTCTTCAATGCTCATGGTAGAGCGGAAAATGAATATTTCATTTCTTTGGCATCATCTGAAGAGTTTGCCTGTAGTATCATAATTATATTCCCAGCTCATCCAGCATGCATAAATGTATCCAGAATTCATATGGGCACACTAGAGAATTGGTAACCCATTAGTTCCAGTGAATCAGGTCCATTGTTTCAAATTATCTATTCTTGGTAGCATAAAGTCCCATTGTTTTAAGTGGATTTTTTTTTCCTGGTGAGAGATTTGGAGAGGGAATATGCAAGTTTTGTAATAAGCAAGGTGCTGTGCAAATCACAAAACTATGAGCTTAATATTTCATAAGTACTCCAAATTTTCTTTTCTTTTTTCTTTTTTTCTCCCTCAAACATCTGAAACCAAGAGATTGCTGTGGCACAGTAGATGGAAAGCTTGCCTTAGAATCCAGAAACCTGGGTTCAATTCTCACATACTGTCTCTGGGACCAGTTAAGTCCCTTAACCCCTCATTGTTCTAAGGAGTTTTCTAAAACTCAATTTTTGAAGAAAAGTTTCCGACTTGCATTTGTGGAGGGATTGTCTTCACTCTGGAGTCCCTATGTCAGTGAAATCACAGGTCCGGTTCCTATCCGTGCCATTTAAAGGGAATACATATATTCTGTAATATTTCTAGCATAAATTTTGCAGTTCTTGAAGTGTACTGTTTTTCTTTTTAAGTGAACATTTCTAAGGCAAACCTATGGGTATGATTAGATCCAAGGAAGAATTTGATTTGGGTTATTAATCAGGATCATTTGGAATGTGTTAATAAACTGAAAAATTATGGATTCTGAAGGGAAAGACAGATCAAATCAGATGAAATTTCATGTTTATGGTATTGATTTGTATAGAATGTGGACTGACATTGAGAATCAATGAACAGAGTGATGTCTTTAGAGTTTGCAAAAGAAAAATAGGCATTAGTATTTCTTATTGTCTTCAGTGGTTAAAAATATGACTTGTTACTTTCTATGGTACTTCCAGAGATGAGCAAAATTCAAAAATTAGCTCCAAGAACTTCTGAGTTTTGTTTGCTGGGATGATTTCTCATTTTCCCTTCCGTTATGAAATTCAAAGTATAATAAATTACCACTTTAAAGCTTAAAGCATATATTTATGTGTATGTATATATCTTAGTATGTTAAACAACACCATAAACTTAGCTAGGATGGATTTTCATAGCTGATATTCAGATCTATGGTTGTATTTTGTGGATCTCTTCTTTTGTTCTTATAACCCATGTATTCTTTCCTATATATCCTTTGGTTTCTAGGCCTTTACCTTCCCCCTGTTTTTACTATGTTTCGGTTTCATAATGTTCTTCTTCTTAACTGGACACAACTTTAACATAATATGCCCCTGTGAATTGCCTTCACATCTTTCTGGTGTATACTCGAAAGTTAGGGTACCTTCCATATACGGGTGATAGGCATTAATAATAATTGCTAGGATTTACATAGCGCTTTAAGTTTTGCAAAGTGTTGTACATATGTTAACTCTATTATTGTGCTCATTTTACATATAAGGAAACTGAGGCTGAGGTTAAGTGATACTAGTGTATAAAGTGAGATTTGAACTCCCTCAAAGTTGAGTGATTACTCATTTAAGCCACTTAGCCAATCACTCAGTAAAAGGTGGGCTTGCCTTCTAGGAAATTATAGCCTGGCTAACTGTGTTGATTCTGTTATTGAGAATGGCAAGTGGAAGCTATGTTCTGAAGAAACTGCATAACCATTCACGCATATCCTTAACATTTTTCAGCACCCATTTTAACATCATTTCTACTCAGCAGTGAGAAAGTCAAAGATTTACACTAGAACTTGATTACAATATATTGCTAATCATTGGACTATCATTTGGGCAAAGCAGGCTATAAAACAGGTTCCTTAATGGTCCCTTCTCCATTTCTGTCATAAAATACAGACATTATGCTATAGTTAAAGCAGTAAGTTCTAGGTTCAAGTGTTGTCTCTGACACATACTTGCTGTGTAACTCTGGGAAAATCATTTACTCTCTACGTGTACTAGGGAACTCTCTAAGCTATCGGTTACAGAAAAGGTGCCAACCTGTATTGGTAAAAGGAGGTTCCTCCCCTTGGGAATCATAGGTCAGTCCATATCCTTATGGCGTGGTTATTTTCCACAAGTCAAGCTTTCAAAACTCCTTGCGTTTCTGTTCTTTCACTAGTTGTGGGAAATAAAATTTAAAACCCATAATATGCTCTGGTTTCTTAAATATACCAATTCATAAAGAAATAAATTAACTCATTTCATTTACTTTTATTCTTCAGTGACTCCAAAGTTCTGCCTCATGTAGCTAATACATCAGTTGACTTAGAATATCAAGATTTGGAATTTTTTCTCCATTGTGTTTTAGGTTTTCTTCATAGCTGAGCTAAAAAAAAAACTTTGCATTTGAAGTTGGCCATTAATTCGCTTACCTGCAAACTTGAAGAAAAGTAGTAAAATCTGGTAGAAAAAAAAATCTCCATATGAGGGGGAGGAAAATACTTTATAAATAATCCCAGTCAGCAGATTTACTCAAGTTTAGGGGGAAAAAATAGAAACTATTAGAAGCAGATGTGTACAATGTGTCTGTTATTGAAGATGGAAAGAGTTCACTACCACCATTCCAGTTACAAAGGAGTATTGATGGCAGTTAAAAATATTGTGATTGATCACCTTTTCAGGCAGAAAGGAGAGGGCAAAGGCTTTTAAAAACAATCCTGAAAACACCTTGCCAGTTTTCATGTATAGTATCAGCAAGTACTCAATACTTTTATTCTACAGGAGTACAGATATTCACATCTTTCTAAAAGGATACGTTCCTCTTATATGTTGCTTACATTGGTATTGGTCACTATCTTTGGAGAAAAGATATTTTCATTCTGTAATAAAATGACCTTATAGCATTTTTAGACCCATGATGAAAACACCTGTCTTTGAAGATATTATTTACGTGAGATTACTACTAGCACAACAGTTGAAATTTAAGAATCTTTTGATAGGCTTTTTCTCCTTAATGCTTTCTGAGAATTAATTGTATCAAAGACACTCCTTCCAGTATGATAGAAATACTGTTGATCTTTATGAGAAGGTATTGACATTCTTTTATGTCTTTTATCTTCTTTAAGGCCAGGTTTTTTTGTTTATTTCTTTGGTGTTTTGCCTTAAAGTGTCAAAAAGCTGCATCCACTCCTTCTCTCCTTACACCTGTCAGAGGAATTGATATGCCCCAATAATTCAATATGGCTCCTTGCTTCCTACTGGGTCCAAAGATCATTGTGTTATATGCCAATGTAACAGCACATGGGACACAAATGGGGATCAAGGATTGTTTAGTAGCAAACAGCATTCTTTGAAAAAAATATCCGGAAAGATATTTTGTGCATGTCCACTCTTTTAGAAGGAGAATTCTTCATTTAATTTTTTAGTACATAATCAACATTAGAACTTTTCTTTGGCCTCTATTAATAGAGTACACTTCCTTATGTGTTTGGTTAGGGTAATAATCACTAATTGCTAAACTATACCAATTTTAATTTCTGAAAATAATTAGAATCTTGAAAAAATTAAAGCTAATTCATAAATGATAATTCACACACACAATTTTAAAAAAACTACAACACAGAATTGTATTTTTATTTGTATTCTTAAAGAAAAATGTTCACTAGGATCTCTTTTCATCCTTAAATACTAAGGTAAGAGAATTACAATTGGCAAAAGGGATTACTATCTAGCAGTGGGAATTCTGTAATTTACATTATTGAATTGGGAAACTGCAAATTAATATGGAAAACATATATTGGCAGGCAAAGTTACTCCAAGCTAGTTAGATCTATAAGCAGTTTTCATACTAGTTGAAGTTTGCATTTCTAGAATGGAATATTTGCACATCTCAGCAACATTAAATGTCTATGAAATCATGCCAACAGGACCTTTAGTCTCAAAAGTTGATTTACAAATGATGGTGTTTTCTCAAACAAACAAAAACACCACCATACTCCCCATCCCTACCAATTCTGATCATCCCTTCAATAAAACTGTCATTAGTATGTGTAAATGATATGAAATGATGAAGAACTTTGTATTAAAAATTGTCATTGTTTAATAAATAATTTAACGTGACGAATTTTAATGATTATATTTTAATGTAGCATTTTATTTTGTTCTGTATTTCTTTGCAATTAGCTAATGCACTCTTGTTTCCTTAATATTCAATAGAAGAACTCATAAATATCTTTGTAAATTTCAGTGTCTTGTTTTTTTTTAATAAGTTTTATTCGAGAGCCAAGGAATTTATAAGATTCAGTAAAGGAGCAGGTTATAAAATATGTCTTTACATTAGAATTACTAGTGAAGTTCAATTATATAAGTCACATATGGGGCCTTGTAACTAAAGTTTTTCCATGAGGATTCTTCCAGTTATCAGCTGATTCATTGGGAGGACTTTTTACATTTGTTAAATCTTATGTTCACTGTGGCCACAGGAACTCACCCCAAAGTGTCACTCTTCTATTCATATAACTTAGTGACACAAAAGGATAAAATTGAGGTACAAAGGAGTGAACTGAAATGCTGGGGAATCTGGTTTTAAGGAATAATAGCATGTTGAGCTGACAGGGAACTTGAATGGATTGCAAACCAATGCCCTTTTTTGTAGATGAAGATATTGAGGCCCAGAAAAGTTTAAGTACTTGCCTAAGGTCACAAAAGTTGCAGAGCTCAGACTGCTTACATGGAAGCACTCCACTCCTTATAGTGTCAATATTTAATCATGTGAATCTGTATGTTGAAAACATTAGGAAATACATTTTAGACAAATCTAGACTCTCCAGTATTTTTTATGAAGGGTTGTCATAGTTCCCCTTATTTAGATTATACTAATGTAGGATTTTAATTTCCATCCATCACTAATCATAGAATCATCCATTTGGAGCCAAAGGGGACTTTAGATAGAAGTCCTCTAGTCCAATTCGTTTTATAGATGAGAAAACTTTGGGCCAGGGAGATTAAGTGGTAAACTTAACAAAGATCATACTGTCAGTACGTGGGAACAGTCAGGATTCAAACCCACATATTCTGACTATAAATTTGGTGTTCTTTTTGTTGTACCATGAGGAGTCAGTATTTCAAAAGTGTAAATATTCAGACACTAGTGGAGAATGGTGTTCTGAAAAAAAAGAGGGGAGGAAACTTTGTTGCTTTTATCTGTATCTGTTCAATAGCCTCAGTTAAAGAAAACTCTTGGTTCCACTTCTGTTTCAAATGGTCTCTGAGGGACGTCTCAGAATCCAAAGGGTTACACTGTATTTATGTGAGACAGGCGCTAAGTAGGGTGGAGACCGAGACATCTGTTGAGAATTCTTCATAGCTGAAGTGTGTTTTCTCAGGGGACAACCAACTACTATTTAATTGTTTTACTTCCTTTTTTGGAAATGTATGCCCATTCTGCAATGTTCCAAATTTCCAAACATCCCTTTTGACCTCCTCATAAACAATTGATAAAATTGATAAGAAAGCTGTAAAGCTTTGCACTTTTACACAAGCTGAATCAGTACATCTGCTGTGAGTTAGCCAGCAGAAAGGAAAAAATAAATTTTAAATAAAAGCAAAGAAAACATTTTGATCCACTTAATGTGTAAAGCAGGTATCCTTGCCTTGGAATTTTGCTAATCAATACATAATCTGTGTGTCTGAGTTAGCATGAACCAGTGAAATACAAATATTTGATTTTCCATACCAAGTTTGGCTATGACTGAATGAAGGGCACTGGCATTGATCTTTCACTTTACACTTATATAAGAAAGAGACTATTTGTAGAAAGCCAAATATAGCAACAGAAGATTTTGTATCTTGCCAAAAAATACAAAATCTGTTCCCCTTTAAGCATGACATTCTATCCTTTTTCTTGTGGATCAAGCTAAAAGGAAAATATAGCTTTAAATGACCCCACTCTTTCTGTTGGAAGCTCCCTAATCTTTTTCAAATGGGCCATCTGTGGTTTTGTGGGTTATGTGATTCAAAAAGGAATATGGCAACATGAGAAATCCATTCAGTTCTGTCATTTTCCCTCATCAGAAATTACAACCAAATCACACATTGT